GTGAGATGGACATCATCAGGGATGTTATACTCCCTTCAGAATTCGGCCAAACCACCAAGTGTTTCTACTAAAAACCTATATTTACCCATTTACCCTTAAGTTATGTATAATTTAACTGTGATAGCTCGGTTAAAAAATGATGCTGAGTAGCTTGGTTGAGCGTGCGAAGGAGTGCCTGGCAACCTAAGTCTGAAAAGTGAAAAAAGAAAGGGGTTATGCACAGATCGATGGACCGTGCTAAAAAGAAATAAAGGTAAAATAAATGAAGTCCTATCTCGGTTATGTGAAGAACTGCGGATGTTAGCTCGGTTTCAGCAAGGGGTCTGTTAGCTCGGTTTCAGCAAGGCATTTGATAGCCCGGTTGAGCCTTAAGGGGTAGCTTTCTTAGTTCGGTCTGAACTTGGAAGGCCGGTTTAGCCCCTAGATTCAGCTCGGGCATAGTTAAGGTTTTCAAAGGCTTGACTTGTTAGAACTACAAGTACTAACAATAAAGAGTTAGCTCGGTTAGTTGGTCCGGCTAGACTGACATCCACTACAAACAACTTCCTAGTTCGGTTATATTGTGATTTTGGATCAAAACTAGTGTTTTTCATGTTATTTCTTGAATCAGAGGAGCTCTATTACTAAGTTTTTGCAAAAGATGCAAGACAAGGCAGCAAATAGAAGTAAAAAACGTGTTTTGCAAAAACACATAACACAAGATATTATGGATTAAACAAGTACGAAAACGAGAAAAATAGAACAGATTTCTGAAGCTTACCAGATGGAGAAGAAGGAACTGGACGTTGAAATGGGCACTGGAAAGATTCACGAGCTCTGCGGTTGCAAGTTTGAGAAGCAGAGAAGAAAGAAAAGGTGAATAGTGAAATGATTAAATTCAAAATTGCTAGGGCTTCTGTTTTGTGTAGAAGGAAGGACAAAAAAGAGCGGGACTGTTCAAAAAACACGGAGTACGAAGACGGCGTGACAGCTACATTGGGCTAATCAGCGTATGCCACGTGTCATGGAAATAAGAAGCGATTCAGTTGCTGTGGTTAAAGAGACGTTTTGACCGGACAAGGAGAGCCCGGTATGGAATTAGCTCGGCTGGGAAGGCTAAAAGGTTTTAGTTCGGCTGGAAAAGCTAAAGGGTTTTTTAGTTCGGTTGAAAGGCTTAAAAACCTTAACTCGGCTGATAAAACAAGTAATCCCTATCATGCTACACAGATGGAATTAAGGGGCAATTGAGAGGGTAATTTATATGAATATTGGGCCGAGTTGGACAATGGGCCGTTATGGGCCACAGTACGAAGGGCTGAGTAAAAAGGCCTCAAATCCAGTCCGGTCCAATCAGGACTTAAAGTTAAGACCGGTCCCGGAAGTGCATTGTTATCTCGGTCCGTGAGAGCGCGGCAGTTCGGTCGCTGGGTCACCACCCTCGGAGGTAGTCCGGCCGCAGCATATTACGGTTAGCTTGGTCGTATCTTCTAAACCGAAGTATGATAAGCCTTCTTCAAGATTCTTCTGTGATTAGTTCGGTTTGACACTTCTATGAATAGCTCGGTCTGGGCATGCGAAGCCGAGGAAGAAGCAAAGAAAAGAAGAACCAGACTGAAAGTTAGATCTGTCATACCTGCATATCTAGTAAGGCAATGGTATTTCGGTCCCATAGAAGTCTGACCATGGTAAAACCATCTCACTTGGTTCAAGCAATGAGGAGGGTATTGAAGGATAAGCATTATCTTTCAGGAGTATGAATCCTATGAGGACTCTGCATGGAGGAGTAGAATCCTACTTGGATTGTGCCACACGGAACCTATAAAAGCTCACAAACATCACCTATGGAGAGGTAACGCAACTTTGATTCCTGAATACGCAGAGCTTTTGTCTACTTGTCTATTTTGCTGACTTAGGCATCGGAGGGGTTTTCGGCACACACCTGCCAGCCAGCTCACGTTTGTGTTTTCAGGGAGTAAAGCGACGACGTTTGGAGGAACGCGGACTTGATCAATAGGATTATACGAGAAAGTTTATCTCTTTCCCGTACATGTCCTTACTGCACATTTTGAAAGCATCCAAACGGTGTATCTGGATTTTCGTCTTGAGAGCTGCTTGGGGCATATCCAACGTTTAACCTTTTTTTTCAATAAATTTGAGTAAAAAATTGAGTAAAAACTACATCTGATATCGCACGATCTAACGAAGAGTCATCAAATTACCGGTCGATTGGGAAGACATCCGGCCAAACGGCCGACCAATGTAATTTTCACAAAAATCTATAATATGTTGTGGGTAATTTTTCACCCAAATGGTCTTTTGGGAGACATCTGGCCGAACATTCGGCCAGTTGTCCGGTGATGTTGTATTACCTTCAACTCCAATGGTTCTGAACAGTAAATTGGTGAAAATTACAGCCATCCTCAATTTAATGAAAACTACAACATATCCTGGATTTGATATTGGTTTGATAAAACCATTGAAGCAACAAAATTGTATCTTTTTTATCAAATTCAAATTTGATTGAATAAAAGGTATTGGGTTGGAGATGGTCTTAAAGACTTACTTTTTTAGATTTAAAAATTCACTCATATTAATGTAATCTAATTTCATAATGATGTGGCAAGGTGATAGACAGGTCTCCGGAGTGTGTAACAAATTTTTTTTTTTTGAACAATCTTGAACATTTTCCTTTCCCTATGATTTTATGTCCGTAAGAATATCTTTAATTGTTCGTCAAATATTTCATTAAATTTGGCCAGTCAACTGTATAGAGTAAATTTTTATCAAATACATTCCAAAACTAATTGTCCGAGCCCAACGAGCAAGGATCCTCTAGAATGATTTTTCTCTAAAGTTTCCTAGAGTGCTACATTGTGTGGTTGAGATTTACTGGCAAGTCACATCAATTTTTCTGATGTGACTTGCCAGTAAATCTCAACCACACAATATAGCACTCTAGGAAATTTTAGGAAAATTTCACTCTAGAGGATCCTTGGTGGAGCCCAATAGTCTTTTACAAAGTTAATGAAAAGATAAACACTCACTCTATTATAACTTTTTTTCATTTGATACCAAACTAATGAACAATGCAGGTGAACAAGTACGACGACGGGTGGAAAAAGGAATGGTTCGGCGCCGGAATATTTTACGAAGGAAGTGAAGATGTCGAGGTCGACGTGTTCAAGACGATCGAGAAACGAAAGGTTCTGAGCAACGTAGAGAAATCTGGTCTCTTGTCCAAAGCAGAGGAATTGGGTTTCACTCTCTCATCCATCGAGAAACTCGGCGTGTTTTCCAAGGCCGAGGAGCTCGGCTTGCTCAGCTTGCTCGAGAAGGCGGCTAGCTTCTCGCCGTCGGCGCTGGCTTCGGCGTCGCTTCCGATTTTGGTGGCGGCGATTCTGGCGATCGTTTTGATACCCGATGACTCGGCGGGTCTGGTAGCGGTGCAGGTTGTGGTTGGGGGTGCGCTTGCTGTCGGGGCGGTCGGGTTGTTTGTTGGGTCGGTTGTTTTGGGTGGGTTACAAGAGGCGGATTGACTGGATCCATATTATATATATGATGTATATGTATAAGCAAGTTTTCTGTATTGATATTGTAAAGCATCTTTCTTTTTGGTCCTCAAAAGAGAGAAAAAAAAAAAAAAATCTTTGAATAGCTTTTCTCATTTAAGTTTGAAAACAAGTTCTTGAGTTCTAGTCATACAATTCATTTTTAATTATTATTATTTTATTTTTATTTTTTTAAATAGGGGTAGACTTCTCTCCAATATTGAATGATCTAATTTTGTATTTCAATTCGTCTGGTGATTAAAGGCATTTGAAATTTTAGTACTTTTTAAATAAATTATCTATATAAAAATTTAAATTGATGAGTCATATATTTAAATCGACATATATAACACATATCACAATATATAGTTTTTCTTATCATAACGTGCATTATATAATTATAATAATTCATAACTTTCACTTCAAGAATACACATTATCACATTATAAATTTATTCATTCGTAACTTCTATCACAAAGTAAAATAACTACTAATCTCACAAAACAGCATAAGAATAAAATAACGTAATGTTCTTACAATATACCCATTTTAGAAGTGCAAAACCATACATTTCTCATACTAAGTGACACTATTTAAGGCTAAGCAAAACTTGCCACCCAAAACTGGCCACTATTAACTCATGCTATGACTTTTCTTCCAACTATACATTATGTATGTATAAAAAAAATGGCTTGGCTTCTGTCCAGTCCTTAATCAGACTGGACCGTGCTGTTGGGTTCATGCAGTGTTGTTAGGTCCATGCAGGCCCACCAGGGGTCCCGTTTTGATAATCTGAATCGTTTAATGTATAGAACTCGTCGAGTACTATAAGTCTATAAAAAAATCACGTTAATCGGATATCGATAACTATGTGATCAAATCAAATTTTTGTCAACCGTTAATTTATTCACCGTCTATTTTTTTTTTTTATACAAAACTGATTTGATCACATAGCTACTAATATCTGATTAACGTGATTTTTCATAGGCTTATAGTACTCGACGAGTTCTATACATTAAACGATTCAGATTATCAAAACGGGACCCCTGGTGGGCCTGCATGGACCTAACAACACTGCATGAACCCAACAGCACGGTCCAGTCTGATTAAGGACTGGACAGAAGCCAAGCCCATTTTGAATTAATCCAATACTTGGAAAGAAATATTCAGCATCCAATTATTATTATTTTTTTTTTTGGTCAGAAATCACTGCCGAAAATAACACTAGTAATATAAAAACTTAGGACAAAATTTTTTTGGAAGAAAACCCAACAAGATATGTAAATAAATAAATAAAAACCAAGTTTACGTGAGTTGTCATTCCGATTTGTTCACAGTAATTTGAGGTCTGTTCACAAAAATTGCAGACATTGTATTTAGGCTATTCAAAATTAACTTAGGTAGGACTAAATCCAGGCAATATTCGTTAATCTGATGATGTATGCACCTGAAACATTTTCAAAGTATCTCTCTGAAAATGTAGAGAGAGAATTTTCATACAAATCCTCCCCCTCCCCAAAATCAAACATCAGTTAAATTTAAGTACTTAATTATTGTAATTAAAAAATGAGAAATCAAAGTGAAATTTACGTCAAAATTTAAGAGTAAATTGTGTAATTTATTACCTTTTTATAAACAAAATGTTTCTTTTTTGGAAGCCAAATATAATTAAATTAAGTGGCTACAATTATTAAATCAATTTAACAAGTGGATAATCCCCATACAAAATTTTAAAAGTAAGGAATCAAATTATTAAAATAGAACTGGTGGTGTAACTATACACACGCACAAACTAAACCTTCTAATCCTGACGGAAAGGGATAGAAGTTGTACAATTTAAATTGTTGAAATAGAATCTATTATGGGTTTCACAACCTGGACAACAGTTTTATTTTATGCTAAGAATGAAATTGACACAACTACTTTGTTCAAGGTATATCTTGCGTTACTTTTGTCTCCAAGTACAATTCTTTGCCTTCTGATGGAGGAAAGAATAAGCAAAGGAAAATTGTATATAGCTTATTTGAGCTAATATGGGTTTAAAGCAGAAAGGAAAAAAAAAAAAAAAAAAAAAACCAAACAAAAATAAAAAATAGCTTAAATATTTGATACACCAATAATTTTCGATCACATAGATCCACTATTCCTGTGAATTTCCTCTTTGTGGGTACTGTGAAGCGAAGTTCCACGTCACCTGAGTACTAAAGTAATATTTAATCATATAAGCGTGAGGGCACCTTCACCTTAATGGCTAGCTTTTGGGGCGAGTTCTATCCAAAACCATGTAACATAGTATTAGAGCTAGAGTACTGAAAGATGGGTAGGGTGCGTGTCCCTGACCCACACACCGTAGGTGCTGTTGAGTGAGCATGCTGGGCGTGAGGGAGGGTGTGAAGCGAAGTCCCACATCACTTGAGTACTAAAGTAATATTAAGCATACAAGCATGAAGGCACCCTCACCTTAATAGCTAGCTTTTAGGGCGAGTTCTACCCAAGACCGTGTAACAGGTACATCTTGGTTTCACTTCTAAAGTTTTCAAGTTCTCCGAAAACTTGACACTTCATTCAATAATCAACCAGACAAACTTCCCTAGAACAAGTCATCTCAACTACAGAATAGCTCATCTCCTGCTCGTAAATTTCCTGGTGGTCAAGCATCAACCAATTAAATCTCACATGCCGGAGACCACATTCTTAATGATTTAGTGGATTCAAAATCACTCGATCTTTCACCACTTTCAACAACTCAAGCAGCAGGTTTCTTCACCTTCACTTTTCCAGGTCTCTCCTTACTGTCATAACATGTGGTTCTGTCATCACCATCCCAGGACCCTGATTAGGATAAGCTCTTTTGCATGGGCAGGCAGGTGCAATGCAAGACCATACAACTCTCATCATTGCTGTTTGATGAATAATATAAAAGGCTTCCACAGCCAATTCCTAATCCTTTGGAGTCCATTAAAGAACCAGAACAAGCATACCCGGCCCAACGCCAACAAGAGCCATAGCATCTTCTTCTTTCTGAGATTTTTCTGGTTATAGACTACAGTTGGGAGCACCAAGCACCAAAAACATTTCAACCAAATCTGCTTTTCCGTTACACTCACCCACAAGCTAATAACAAGAAAGCAGGGGATCATTTAATTTCATTTATGACCCACATAGTTGGAGAAAAAATTGTAGAAAGTAGTTGAAAGTTGAAGTCATGGATTAAAAAAAATGATGGCAAACTCTACAGCTATGATATTAACCAAATTTGAAGTTTCTGTGATGAACATATTGATTTTAGAGAACGCAGGGTACACTGACTTGGTATAGCACTTCATCTGCAATCCAATTGCCAATACCTGAGATAAAACTCTGCAAAGATGAAAAAAGAAAATTAATATGTATCCTGATAAGAAAAAATAAAGCAACTGTTGATAACTTCTGTTAGATAAATAGAAGTTTTTGTACACAGTACAATTTGCAAGAAAATCTTTTTTGTTTGATTAGTAGTCCAAGGTAAACTAGAGATCATTTCTTCTGCAGTTTAAAACATTTTCTAGCACATTAAGACATGTCTAGTGATTATCTGTATTTATTCTCTGTAAGCAGGATCTGTTTGAAAGATAAAAATTAAATTACCATCCAAGCATTCCATAAGAATGCTTGTTAGCTGAAATGACTGGTATTTTTTTTGGTTACATCTGAAAGAGAAATGACTGGTATTGAACAACCATTTCATTACAGCAAGTCCTTCATGTAAACAACCATGCATAAGATTTTAGATAATTTTATTGTTACTCAAGTTTGGGAAGCTTTGTTCCCTAATGCCAACTATCAGTTAATATAGTTAGAAAGTCTCCTGAAGTTTAGTCAGATAGCAAATGGCCTTTCTCAGTTGAAGCATCAAATGTAAACAGCCTAATTAGCAAAACGCAATTCCAAATCTGGGATTGGCTACACAAATCTTGCAATACAATTTCAATTAGCTGAAACCAATTTCAAGCCTCCGTAGTCCTTGGGGAGTCTTCATCTTGAGCCACATCATCACACCTTCAGTCAATGTTCCCTGTTGTATAAGAACAAAATAAAGAGGCTTCCAGGCACATTGGCAAAAATCTGTTTGGTGTCAAACCCAAGCCTATTATATTGACATAAATGATACAGTTAGGTACCACTGATTTTCCAAGTCCATAGTTCACAATAGACCTTATTTGTCATTTCTTAAATTACTTAAGATAAATGGGCTTGCACACGAGTCAACACTATATTAACCACATGGTAAAGATACATGCTCAGAAATTTGTTTTGTTGCAAGCACATTGACAAAAATCTGTTTGGTGTCAAACCCAAGCCTATTATATTGACATAAATGATACAGTTAGGTACCACTGATTTTCCAAGTCCATAGTTCACAATAGACCTTATTTGTCATTTCTTAAATTACTTAAGATAAATGGGCTAGCACACGAGTCAACACAATATTAACCGCATGGTGAAGACACATGCTCAGAAATTTGATTTGTTGCAAGCACATTGACAAAAATCTGTTTGGTGTCAAACCCAAGCCTATTATATTGACATAAATGATACAGTTAGGTACCACTGATTTTCCAAGTCCATAGTTCACAATAGACCTTATTTGTCATTTCTTAAATTACTTAAGATAAATGGGCTAGCACACGAGTCAACACAATATTAACCGCATGGTGAAGACACATGCTCAGAAATTTGATTTGTTGCAAGCACATTGACAAAAATCTGTTTGGTGTCAAACCCAAGCCTATTATATTGACATAAATGATACAGTTAGGTACCACTGATTTTCCAAGTCCATAGTTCACAATAGACCTTATTTGTCATTTCTTAAATTACTTAAGATAAATGGGCTAGCACACGAGTCAACACAATATTAACCGCATGGTGAAGACACATGCTCAGAAATTTGATTTGTTGCAAGCACATTGACAAAAATCTGTTTGGTGTCAAACCCAAGCCTATTATATTGACATAAATGATACAGTTAGGTACCACTGATTTTCCAAGTCCATTGTTCACAATAGACATTATTTGTCATTTCTTAAATTACTTAAGATAAATGGGCTAGCACACGAGTCAACACAAT